AAACTATACTTTTATCCTATTCACCTTTTATGATTTTGATGTCAACATTTACATTTGTTTGTAGTAATTTTTATGCCTTAACAATTTATTGTAGCTACAGTTGTTTTCAGTAGTTTTGTCTCTTAAACCTCAAGTAGGGATGAAATTGCTTTACATATTAATCTTATAGTATTGGAGATCTCTGAGTATGAATTACTGATGCCACTGACATTTTTTAGTTTCATGTATGTCTTGTTATTAATTATCAATCTTTCAGCAATTCCTGTGAAGACCTCCTTGTGATGAATTCCCTTAACGTTTGTTTGTCAGGGAAAGTTTTTATTCTCTTTTATTTCTGAAGAACAGCTTTGCCAGATAAAGTATTCTTAGTTGGCAATATTTTGTTTAATGTTTTTTAAAGTGTGTTGAATATATAATCCCAATTTCTTCTTGACTAGAGAGTTTCTGCTGAAAAATCTTCTAAAAGGTGTATTTGGCTTTCTTTGGATGTGAATTTTTTTTTAACTCTTACTATTTTCTGTATGTTTTTTCTTTGATAATTTGATTATGATTGTCTTGGTGAATTCCTCTTTCAGTGGAGTTTGATTAGTGACCCCTGAGCTTCCTGCACCTGGATGCTGTTGGCTTTCCTCAGATTTGGGAAAGTTTTAGCTATTATTTTCTTTTTTTTTCTTCTCCTGCCTCAGCCTGCTAAGTATCTGAGATTATGGGCACATGCCACCTCACCTGGCTAGTTTTTGTATTTTTTTTTATTGTAGTTTAGGTTCTGGGATACATGTGCAGATCATGCAGGGTTGTTGCAGAGGTGCATACGTGGCAAGGTAGTTTGCTGCCTCCATCCCCCATCATCTATATCTGACTTTTCTCCCCATATTATCCCTCCTCACACTCCCTGCAATAACAATCAATGGGGAGAGGATTCTCTTTTTAATAAATGGTGTTGGGAAAACTGGCTAGCAATGTGAGAAAGCAGAAATTGGACCCCTCCCTGACACCTTACACTAAAATTAACTCCAGATGGATTGAAGATTTAAACATAAGACCTAACACCGTAAAAGCCCTAGAAGAAAACCTAGGCAAAACCATTCAGGACGTAGGCATAGGCAAGGACTTCATGACAAAACACCAGAAGCAATGGCAAGAAAAGTCAAAATAGACAAATGGGATCTAATTAAACTTCAGAGCTTCTGTACAGCAAAAGAAACCACCATTTAAGTGAACCAGCAACTAACAGAATGGGAAAAAATTTTTGCAATCTACCCATCTGACAAAGGGCTAATATCTAGAATCTACACAGAACTAAAACAGATTTCCTAGAAAAAAAAAAAGATTCAAAAGTGGGCAAAGGATATGAACAGATACTTTTCAAAAGAAGACATATATGAGGGCAACAAACTTATGAAAAAATGCTCATCATCACTGATTGTTAGAGAAATGTGAGTCAAAACTACACTGAGATACCATCTCACACTAGCTAGAATGACAATCATTAAAAAATCTGGAGCTATTACTTTCTTAAATATGTTTTCTGGGTCTTTTGCTGTCTCTTCTTCTTCATAAACTTTTAAAAATACATATGGTAGTTCCTTATCTCTAGGATTTCCATTTTTAAAAAATTATTTCTTTTTTTTTTTTTTTTTTTTTTAATTTTTTATTGGATTATAGGTTTTGGGGTACATGAGCAGAGCATGCAAGACAGTTGCGTAGGTACACACATGGCAGTGTGCTTTGCTTTTCTTCTCCCCTTCACCCACATTTGGCATTTCTCCCCAGGCTATCCCTCCCCACCTCCCCCTCCCACTGGCCCTCCCCTTTTCCCCCCAATAGACCCCAGTGTTTAGTACTCCCCTTTCTGTGTCCATGTGTTCTCATTTTTCATCACCCACCTATGAGTGGGAATATGCGATGTTTCATTTTCTGTTCTTGTGTCAGTTTGCTGAGAATGATGTTTTCCAGATTCATCCATGTCCCTACAAACTTCTATTTCTTTGTAAAATCTTTCATTTTGTTCAAAAATAGATTTTTAAATTTTTTATTTAATTTTGTGTTTATGTTTTCTTAAAGTTCTCTGAACTTCTTTAAAAGGAATTTCTAAAATTCTTTTGTTAGTTGTTTCATAAGTCTGCACTTCTTCTGAGTTTATTATTGGAGCCTTATTAGTTCCTTTTGTGGTATCATATTTACCTGATTTTTTATAATCTTTGTGTCTTTAGATTGATGCCAGTGTATTTAAGAAGATGACCACCTCTTCTAGCCTTTGTGACTGTTCTTTGGTGGTGATAGACCTTTATTATTTGTCTAGTTGGGATTCTGAATAAACTGGCCAGTAGCAACTCCAGACAAGCGGACCCTAGTGCTGAGTTGTTTAGTTGTGCTGGACAATGTTTTGTGTTTTGAGGTCAAATGATACTGCTGGCTATGCTCCATGGACTGATGAGATCATGCTGACACCAAGTGAAGCTGCTGGTTGGATACTGCAAACATCTCTAATTAGGTAAGGTGACAGGTTATCTTTCCTAGCTGTGCCATGGTTGTCTGGAATCTGTAGTTTTGCAGAGCTGTGTGCTGGAATCTGAAACTGGGTGAGGTCTATGGCCTTGCTGCTAGGCCGTACAAGTTTGGCAGGGCCTAAGACTATGCCTGATATATGTCGACTTGGGTTTGCCTCCCAGCCTATGGTAGTCTTTTTTTTTTTTTTGAGACGGAGTTTCGCTCTTGTTACCCAGGCTGGAGTGCAATGGCGCGATCTCGGCTCACCGCAACCTCCGCCTCCTGGGTTCAGGCAATTCTCCTGCCTCAGCCTCCTGAGTAGCTGGGATTACAGGCACGCGCCACCATGCCCAGCTAATTTTTTGTATCTTTAGCAGAGACGGGGTTTCACCATGTTGACCAGGATGGTCTCGATCTCTCGACCTCGTGATCCACCCGCCTGGGCCTCCCAAAGTGCTGGGATTACAGCCTATGGTAGTCTTAAGCAGGATACTGACGCTTAGTGGAGTCATAAGGCAGCAGCTGGGTTTGGATGGGGCTAGATGCTCCCTCTACAGGTAATACTGACTCTCAGTTGGCTCCTGGGTTGAGGAAGAAGTGAAAATGTGGCTTGTCTTGGTTCTCTGGTCCAAAAGGGTGTCTTAGACCCACTGTTGAGTTCTGGGATACTCCTGATAGTATTTTTTGCCTGTGGCTAGTTGCTAGTTGGATTTCTGTCAGCGTCAGAGGAGTGAAGCTGGAGAACTCCTAGTCTGCCTGCTGCTAATATGACTTTCCATAATGAACCTGTTTGCCTTTTCATTCTAACGTTTTATTTATAATGTGTCTTTATGGCGATCTTTTTACGTTCTACGTATTTGGAATACTTTCAGCTTCTTCAATGTCGATTTTTATTTCCCTCTCTATGCAATGTGTAAGAGTTCCTGTTGTTTCACATCCTTGTCAACATTTAGTGTTGTCATTATTTTGAATTTTGGTTATTCTAATAGGAGTGTAGTTGTATCTCATTGTTTTAATTTGCAATTCCCTAATAACATATAGTGTTGAGCATGTTTTCATGTGCTTATTTACCCATATATATTCTCCACTAATTTTACTTTGTTTTTACAACCCTGCCTCTCAATGGTGTCTTCTAAAAGTGTTTATACAAAGCATGATCGAAAATAGAGGGGAAGGTAAGAGAAAAGGTGATCAAAAGAGGAAGGAAATTGTATTAAGTATTCAGTAGTCCAATCAATTAACCAAAAATTGTTCTTGTGGGACCTCAATATAAATAGATTTTCTGTCTCTTGCACCTTGTGTCAGCATTCAGGTAAAATGAAGAATTGAGAAGGAAGCAGAAGAGTGAAAAATAGAATACACTATGCCAGGTTATATGCTATTAACTGTTTGTAAATGATATTCTAGTGTTTGTTCACCTCTTATCTCTCCTATTTTAAATCTCAGTTACCTGCCAGATATCAATCTAAATTGATGTTCCTTTGCCCCACTTTATGATTACCCTCTTATACATTCATATCAAAAGGCTGCTCCTTTCTTTCCTTTATATATGGACTATTTAAAGTTGATGAGGCAAATGTGCAGATACTGGAACATGTTCCATAAAGACTCCCTCTTTTTATTTTAGAGTGATATCAACAAAATTCTCTTAGGTTCTATTTAACCCTATTAAAACAAAACTTGACTGTTAATCTATGCAGTCTCAAATCTAAGGACAGGATAGAGAGGTGACTTCTTATAGCAGTAGTGGATTCTCTCTAAACCCAGTAGAGACAAGTGTCCTGGGTGTTTTCTGAATGCCTATAATAACTTTATTTATTTCATTGACATCCCCCAACTTTAAACACAATGGGTTATATCATTTTTGGTTTTAACTATCTTCTACCCTTCTGCACTTCAAGGTCAGAAAATATATTGTATCGCTAGTATATTAGCTTCCAACTCAAAAATGTAGAACTTTTCAAATACAAAATAGTGATAAAATGAAAGGGCATCTTGGCATACTGAGTTAGAAGTGTTCGGGAGGAAGGTTGATACCTTATTGTAAATGTGTTATGGAAGGAATTTGATATTTCTTTGTGGCTGCTCACAAATTTGAGCAGTTGTGATTGTGTAAATGTTTTTATTAAACCAGAGTGTAGACAGAGTTGTGATGTGTAGTTCACAATCAGTAATGGCAGAATTGAGCTCTTAGGAAAAGAAGGAGCCAAATTGAAGATTTCAGTGACATTATGAGTCTATGGTCAGAAGCACAGGAATGAGGTAAGAAAATCAGATACATTAGCCTAGAGTGCATAGGGGTAGTCAGTCTTACACCTTAGAAAATGCATGGCTGGAAAGGAAGATAATCTGAAAAGGAAAGACCATTGGTCCATAATAACCTGAATTGATCTATACCTAGATCCGACACAAAAGGCAATGTCTTGGTAATCAGAATCTGTTAATTAGAAAACATAGGAACCCACCAACATATATGATGACATATTATTCCCACAATATTCAGGTACTTAGTTAAATCATGATTTGACTGAATAAGTACTCAGGTTATCTTTTGTTTTCTGAAATAATTTTGACATGCCACAACTTTCTCATGGCATTTTTCACTTCTGCATTCCTCAGTGTGTAGATGAGTGGATTGAGAAGGGGTGTTCCAATAGTATAAAACACCGCCACCATCTTGTCCATGGGGAAAGTGGTTGGGGGGCGTGTATATATGAATATACATGGACCAAAGAATAAGATGACTACAATTATGTGAGAAGTGCAAGTAAAGAGAGCCTTTTTCCTCCCTTCTGCACTGTGGTTTCTCAGGGAATGCAAGATGACAATGTATGAAATTATCAAAATCATGAAACTACTTGTGCAAATTGCCCCACTGTTAGACACCAACAGCAGGTTGGTCGTGTAAGTGTCCATGCAGGCAAGTTTCAACAAGGGCTGCAAATCACAGCAATAATGATCAATCAAATTGGGTCCACAGAAGGGCAGTCTTAAAGCCAGGATAATTTGAGCCATAGAATGTATAAAAGACCCTATCCAGGCAAGAACAATCAGGATGATGCAGATCTGCCGGCTCATGATGGTTGGGTAACGCAAAGGCTTACAGATGGCCACATAGCGATCAACGGCCATGAGGATGAGAACAAAGACCTCCATGCAGCCAAAAAAATGTAGTGCAAAGACTTGTGTCATGCACTCATTGTAGGATATAATTTTCTTTGCAGAGAGAGTATCCACAATTAATCTAGGGGCTGTGGAAGTTGAAAAGCAAGAATCAGCAATGGACAAATAAAATAGGAAGAAGTACATGGGACTTCCCAGAGTATGGCTAGACTTGATGGTCACAATAATGAGCATATTCCCCACCACAGTTCCCACATAGAAAATTAAGAATATTATAAACACAATTTTCTGCCTCAAGGGATCCTGTGTTAATCCTAACAGTATGAATTCAGTCACACTGTTATTTTGCTGCATTGTTTCAGTTGGTGTGGAGAAGCCACAAATTAGAAATAGTTAATCTGCAAGGGGAAAAAAAAGGAAAATAAATGCTAAATTTGGAGGTCAAGTACTTATTCTTAGCAATGAAATTGCAACTTTACAATGAATTAGTATTTTTTTTCTGAGTAAGATGGAATTCATAGTAACTATTCAATATATTTACCAAATTACTTTTTTTTTTTTTTGACAGAGTGTTGCTCTGTCGTCTAGGCTGGAGTGCAGTACCAAGACAAAATTACACATGAAAATAATGCAATGAGGAATAGAAAATAATTTAAAAGCAAAGGATTTTTTCAAACAATGTAAACATTAATTTAGGGGTTTGGTATGAGTAGATATCTTTCTAAGCTGAATGTGTTTCTTTAGCTTATAACCAGGAATAATAAATATTTTGTACTGTGTTGCAATAACAGAGGAAAATGTACATGACTTACTTCAATAAGCTTTCACACTATTTGAACCTGATAGTACCATTATAATATATTTACTTAGTAAATATACTGATTATTCTAATAAAGATTGTATAAATACCTTCATTAATAAAATCTACATGTATATGCACACATACACACATACAGAGGAGAGAAAAAGAATAAACATAAAATTTTTGCAATGAGCAACAAGTCAGCCATTCCAGTCCAAACTGAGACTTATTTTAACCTCTTGGCTTGACTATCTTTATTTCCTTTTAATTTACCTCTGAAAATTTTCTAATTTTTTTCAGTTCTAAATTCACCCTTTATTATTCAACTTGGCACTGCTTTGTTATACTGTGTTGTCCAAAGTTAAATTCTTCCCTCTTTCATTATTTTTTCTGGGTTCTTCAAAAAATTTTCTTAAGAGACAAGTAAACACTGACAATTGACATGTAAATCAGGACATTTTTTCAGATTTACAGGTAAGCATCAGAGATTTAGAAAATGATATCTATGTGCACCAAGTCAGGACTGATACTTTCAATAGAATTTTTAGTTTGTATGTTCTTGAGTATTTCATATTCTGACTGCAAGAAAGAGAAAATAAATGTATAAAGGCCATTAATATTTATGTGCATATTTCAAATACTGAACAAATTGCTCTATATACCTTTTCACATATATATTCCAAATAGTAACACAGTAAAAAATCAAAAGGTAAAGTGCCAATATGATAAAATACATTTACAACACATATGCCAGAGAAAATCGTAATTTTTTCAAATGTAAATGGAATTCACAGGTAAGTTTCTGAAAAACATGACACAAATGAACATTAGGAAAAGAACCCATTTTAAAAGAGACTGTTCTTATTATAAAGCTTAAGCATATGGAAACATGCTCAATTTCATGAACAGTTAAATACATTCAAATTAAAATTCCAGTCAGCTAATTTTCATCTATCAGGTAAATAAAGCGATCCTATTGATAACTATTTTAACAAACAGTGTTTTTTTATTTTGATGAAAAATAAAATAATTTAATACATTTTTTTTTTTTACAAAGTTTGTTCCCAGAAGAACTTCTGATGTCAGTAAATCACAATCCCACCTGTACATTTTAACATTCATGGAGTTGTAATGATGATGGTAAAAGCTAGCGGCCTAGTAAATATACTTACTTTATTTCAATTTCATGATAGGACAATTTCAAAGTAATTATTCAGAATTCTGAATATAAAATAGCCCTAGATCTTAAAGGACAAAAAGTCAAATTTGAAATAAGAATTTAAATCTTTGAACAAGCTGTTAGGGCTTAGTGACTCCTCTTCTACTTTGAGCTTCTAAAATACTGACTGTTCAAAATAGCAACCAACTCTTTTAGACATAGTAATAAACATGGTCAGAAGTTCTGGCCTATGACTTGAAACAAATAACCCTGAGCATACATTTTTGAAAACGTTCTCAGATTCATAGCTATAATTATGAAGAGTTAATAATCTAGAAGGGAACCATTCTTAGGCCAGAGTGGAATGGGATAGGAGGTGCCGAGAGAGGACTGAGGCTGCTGGGGACATGGAAGCGCTGCAACCTTGGAGCCAGGGATCCGGCAGTGCAGCCCTAGCGGCGGCCTAAGAGCTCGAACACTTTCAGGCTCGCACAGGAGGAGGAATGGCGGCGGCGGAACAAGACGGACCTCACTTACGTGGCCGCGGTCGCCGTGGGCATGCTGGGGGTGTCCTACGCCGCCATACCCCTTTATCGGCTCTACTGCCAGACTACTGGACTTGGAGGACAACCACTGTTGACAAAAGTGTGGGAAATACTCAACCCGATGAATTTTTTTTTTGTTTTTGTTTTTGTTTTTTTGTTTTTTCTTTGTTTTTTTTTTTTTAATTTTTTATTGGATTATAGGTTTTGGGGTACATGAGCAGAGCATGCATGACAGTTGCATAGGTGCACACATGGCAGTGTGCTTTGCTTTTCTTCTCCCCTTCACCCACATTTGGCATTTCTCCCCAGGCTATCCCTCCCCACCTCCCCCTCCCACTGGCCCTCCCCTTTTCCCCCCAATAGAGCCCAGTGTTTAGTACTCCCCTTTCTGTGTCCATGTGTTCTCATTTTTCATCACCCACCTATGAGTGAGAATATGCGGTGTTTCATTTTCTGTTCTTGTGTCAGTTTGCTGAGGATGATGTTTTCCAGATTCATCCATGTCCCTACAAACGACACGAACTCATCATTTCTGATTGCTGCATAATATTCCATGGTGTATATGTGCCACATTTTTCCAATCCAGTCTATTATCAATGGGCATTTGGGTTGATTCCAGGTCTTTGCTATTGTAAACAGTGCTGCAATGAACATTCGTGTACATGTGTCCTTATAGTAGAACGATTTATAGTCTTTTGGATATATACCCAGTAATGGGATTGCTGGGTCAAATGGAATTTCTATTTCTAAGGCCTTGAGGAATCGCCACACTGTCTTCCACAATGGTTGAACTAATTTACACTCCCCGATGAATTTTTGGTGGGAATGTAAGTGGGTGCATGCAGCCCTCTAGGAAGTGACTTGAGTATCTATAATGTGACAACTGCATATAGATATTGATCCAGTTATTCTGTTTCCTATAGACATACTCATTCATAGAAACAAGGACAATCATTGTGCCTTTTTGGATGGTAGCAAGAGATAGGAAACAACTTGAGTGACCATCAGAAGGGATATTAGTGAATCAGGGATGGTATTTTTTATGCAAACATTAATTAGAATGAAGCAGATACATATATCTGTGTGTGTACACACACATCCCCCCACACACATAATGGTCCCTGACATATGGTGTAAATTGAAATGTAAGAGATCAATACTGCATGCTTAGAATGGTAACATTTTCCTTAACACCCATACAGTATAAACTACACACACCTACATATTTACATACATGAATTATAGTAGAAGAGTATGAAAAAAACGATAATGTGTCTGAGTGGGGAAGTTGCATTCTTGACCTTAGAGATGGGAGAAAGATCCTACTTTCAAAAATATTCACTTTGATAATATTTGAAAGTATGTCATAATGTTACATCAAAAATGATGCTTTAAAAGCTTTACCTTGGGAGATGGGTTGTTATTCTCCTTGTGATGGGATATCACTGAGCCATCACAACTGTCTTCTGTCATAGACAGGAATTCTAGTGGTATTCTTAGGGCCACATTAAGCTTCATAAATTTGAGTAAGTCAGGTATAGAGTAGTTTTGAAACTCAGTGCTCTGTAAATACAACATATGCAGACAGATTGTCACTAACTGGAGCTTCCCTTCCTGTATTGAAGGTTTGTCAAAGCTCTTTAGCAAATAGAAATAAAAAATTGCGTTTGTCTTCTATGAATGAAGAATAATAAAAAGACATACATGCACACACATCTCCAGAACAGATTTGAATAAACAGGAATAAACAGACATAAATAAAAATCATTACATGTTTTCATGGTACTATACATTAGAATGAAGCAATATAAGGAAGATAATTTTTATCTGTTCACTGCTGAATTTCAGCATTTATAAAAAAGAGGATGTTTGATAAATATCTGTTGAATAACTCAAATAATTAAGAGAATTTCCTATAGATCCAAATCATGAATGTTTTATACTATTTTATACTTAGCTGCCATTAAGGAGAAGGAAAGCATTTATTAAAAAGAGGATGTTTGATAAGTATCTGTTGAAATAAATCAAAGAATTAAGAGAATTTTCTATACATCCAAATCATGAATGTTTTATACTATTTTATACTTAGTTGCCATTAGGGAGAAGGAAAGCCGGCATCCTACCATGGGCGGCATCGTCACCTTCATGGAGCCCATCCTGCAACACCTCATTCTATTTTATTCCTGTTTGTTTGTTTATTTATTTATTTACTGCTCCTTGCAGAGCAGGGCTACCCATGGGCAGTGTGCCCAGAATAGTCTGTTTCTATTTAATTATCTCCTACCCAAATCTACTAGCATTTCTTACCTGGTAGTGCCTATTTCCATCAAGAAATGCTGTGCGTGAGTTTTATTCCCATGTTTTCACTTTAGATTGTAAAGCACTCCTAGAAAAGTCCTTGAATTTCCCCACCTTTCACCAGTGTCTTGTATGTGTTAGTTCCTGGCTATCGAATTGATCACATCCATCTTCTCTGGACATTAAATACAACTAAGTTGTTCTTCTAGACAGACCTTATCAGCTTTAGTTAAAGAATATGCTACATTAGGATGTTCAGTTGCCCTCTTTTCTTCCCAAAATAATTTGGAGCCTCATTACTCAAATTTGAAATTTTGATTACTCAAATGAGAATTTTAACATGCTTATAAATTAATATCTGACTATTCTGATATTAGGATCTCTTTGATCTCACAATGAAACTTACATTCCCATCCTAATGCTAGAAGGCAAACTAAATTGTTTCCAGAATCATCCAACACTTTCTGAAATCTACCCTCACATAGCATTTTGACTGGAAAAATTTTCTCTTTTGCCTTCCCAGGAGAAGAACTTAATATAAATTATATGTAAAATTTAAGAGTCTGGGG